GGGATTTCATGTAAGATAACATAAAACACATGGATTCTATGCAATAAAAATAACATAGGGGGGTTTGTGTAGGTTTTCCATAACACATGGAGGTTCTATGCAGTTTACCCGTAATTTTGTCTTTTTATCTAAGTCAACAACCAAATATGATATAGGGCACTTTACAAATAAGCTCACCAATGAGTATTTATTCATAAAGGGTCCAGATAATAAACTCTTTTATAAAAATGTCCACACATGGTCCAAATGTTTGTAAAAGACTAAAGTAGCCCCTCACACTTTATATGCTCCAATTTCATCATTCAATATTATCTAACCTCAATTTGGCCCCAAATTTCACAAATTATTCAATTTTGACCCAAAACACAATTTTGTAGACAATTTCGTCCGTCACCGTTGTTGACTTTTTTTTTCCTTCCTGATTTTTCCGCCACCAATTTCCGGCGTTGACTTTTTCGATTTTTTGCCCATGTTTAAAAAGCAATATTGTTGTGGTTGACAATAATATGAACAATATTATTGTTAAACACAGTAAAATAAACTATACTACAGTTTAACACATTAATATTGTTATATTAATCTCTAGCACAATAATATTAACACAACAAAAGTCATTATTATTGTTTAATAGAGTAATATTAATATGTTGACCGTTCAACAGAAGTAATAAAAAGCCACAAAAATTAATATTATTGTGGTTGACAGTAATATTACTGTAACAACAGTAATGTTACCGTCAACCACAATAATATTATTCTGTTTACAGTAATATTACAATAATAGAAAATAATTTTATTACGTTACACCGTCAATAACTCAAACAAAACAAAAAACGAAAGAAAAAAAAAATATTGACGTGGTTGACAGTAATATTGTTGTGTTTACAGTTATTATACTATCAACAACAGTAATATAATTACATCGACTTATCAAAAAATCAAACAATATTAAAAAAAAAATAATAAAAAATAATAATAATAATATTGTCGTTGGTTGTACTGTCAACGACATTACAATTATATAAATGTATTGTCAACGGCAGTCCAATAATGTTAATGTATTGTCAGTGATAGTATAATTACGTTAATTTACTGTTAGTGACAGTATAATTATTGCTAGTGAAATTTGGGAAAAAAAAAAAAAAAAAAGGAAATTTTTTTTGAAAAGTCAACGCCGGAAACCGGCAAAAAAAAAAAGTCACCGCCAGAAACCGGCGGCAAAAAAATAATTTCTGAAAAAGAAAGTCAAAATTGGATTTTTGGGGTCAAAATTGATTAAAATGGGGTTACAATTAAAAATTGTGTGTAAAGGGCTGGGGTAATTTTGTCATATACATTAACTTTTCCTTTATTTATAGGGGTTATTTTACATAACACCTTGGCCACCAAATAAACTAGGGATAAACTCAAGCCGAAATTATGCTTTGACATACCCCCTAGAGAAGCGAAAGTACTATACTATCCTTATATGCAATTTTCGGCCAATCTGCATTTAGCATTTATGGTCCTGCATTTATCATTTTCGCTGATTTATTTTTTATTATTATATTTTTTTTAATAAACATATATATATATATATATATATATATATATATATATATATATATATATATATATATATATATATATTTTTAAATTAAGTTTTTTAATTTTTTAAATATTAATTTTTTTTTTTAATTTTCAAATCAATTTGTTTACTGTATTGAAAATAACTACATGTAACTGTAGTAAATATAGTAATGCGTAGTTATGTTTTTTTTTAGCCCATATTTTTAGTCGATCAATTATACACACACAAACACGAATACTGGCTTATACAAAAGAAATTTATAAACTCCAACAACAAAAATTTACAAATTTCAGTATTTATATTATAAATCACCTCAATACCAATAAAATACAAATAAAAAATACACAAATATATGCATATGTAACTACATGTTATTATAGTAATGTATAGTAATGTACAATAATGCATACAGTCTGTTGAACAAAGCAGATGTAACTTCAAACAAAAATTTGGACACCTTCAAAGAAAGGATCAATGGTCTTCATTAAGCTGCAATTGCAAAATCAAAAAAAAAATATTTTAGTGCAAATGAACAAAAAATAAAGAAACATCCTCAAAAAACAACAAACACTAAGAGATCTAGAGAAATAAATCTGAAAATATAAAAATGAAAATAAAAAATAAAATAAAATATAAAAATATAGAAATAGATCTGAAAATATAAAAATGAATGATATTGACATCAAAATATAGTTCCCGAGGAGAGGAATCCAACGGTGAGTATCCTGTCAAATTCTGACTGACGAAAAACAAATTACACCTCTTGTAAGAACACCGTCGTCGAAATACGTCGACTAAAAAAATGCCGAAACAGATCTAGCACTCCAAACTGAATGAAATACCAACCAAAAGAAAGAGCTCGACGAGAGGAATCCAACGATAGTTGAACCATCGAATTTCAACCACCGGAGAGAGAGTTACGACTCCGAGAAGCAAAATCGCCGGTTAGAGACAGAGGGCGGGATTTGGATCTAGGAATTGAGAGAGGAAGATAAACACTGATATGGGTTGGGCTAGGGTTTAAAACTGATTTAAAAGGGTATTCTGGCTACTTGAGGGTGGGCTAGGGGGGTATGTCAAATTATTATCCAAATGGAGAGGGTTTGCGCTAGGGTGAAAACAACATGGTAGATTGGTAGTTAGCTATATATATTTTCGAAATGAGGGGGGGTCTCTAAAACAATCCCTTTATTTATAATACATATTAAAGGGATGTGCTTATTGGCAAAAGAAATATAGCACTGAACCTAGAATGATAAATATGGTTGGTTAGGGACTTATGCACAAAAACCCCTACGATATAAGGGGCAGTGTGCTTTGAAAAAACAATATTATTAATTTTTTTATTAATATTTTTAACACAATGACTTTTTCGACAATTCGAGATTTCACAAGGGGTTCTGTGCAATCAAGTGTTTTCTCTAGATTGAAACCAAGTTTTTTCAACAGAAGTTGAGAAAGTATGTTGGGTTTTAAATTTAGAGTTTATTGCAAATGCTGCACTTGTGTTATTTTCAATTGGCAAATACACCCCCTTATATTAACATTTTCAAATCACACTGCACCCTTTATGATTTTAGGCTTTGACTGAAGATAAAGAGATAAAAATACACTTAGGGGGTTTTTGAGCAATTAATAAAGTATATTATAATTTTATAGATATTATATATTTTTTTATTTGTAAAATTTAAAAATATATTTAAAACCAGAATGAAATATATATTGTAACATTAAAAGTTTTTAAATGTGTTCCATTTTTTTTATTTTACATTCATATAAAAAAAATAATAAATAAAAAACAAGCAAAAGCCTTCCCTGCCCACCCACCCAACTCACAGTCACAGCACTCATCCGCCATTTCTCCATCCGATCGCCGCTTCTGATCCGTCGTGCTCACCACCATCTCACCCCTCCTTCACCACCATCACCATCTTCTCCAGATCCGCCGCCCACAACATCTTTGAACTTTAGTTTCCATCGGATCATCAATAAACTTTACGGGGCCTCAACCTGCCGCCAGTCTCCTATTTCGACGGTGTTTCGGCAAATAGGCTCAGCAAGCGAAGAGAAACGGATCAAAGGCAATTTCTGGGCCTTTAGGTTCGGCCGTTATCAACGTATCCGCCGTCGAGAGAAATCGCTTGGACATGTTGTCGATAGGCGTTTCTGTAATTGGCACAGGGTTAGCCTCGGATTGTGCAGATTCGGGTCTGGTATGGGGAAGAGGAGGTGGTGGTGCTGAACTTATTGTTTTCTTGCTGGGGTTGGGGGATTTGTTCGACCCTACACCCGGTGAAAAACACCGGGTGGGTCTTCTGCTGTCACGTGTCTCTTTTTTTGTATTTTATAATATATTCCCAGCTAGGATTTATCTTTAGGAGTTTTAAAAAAAAAAAAAAAAAGACACGTGGCAGCAGAAAACCCACCCGGTTTTTTTCACCGGGTGTAGGGTCGAAGGAACCGGGTTGGGAAAACGATGACCTTTCCTCTCTTTTCTTTTTTTTTTCTTTTCTTTTAAATGATTTATTTATTAAAGTTTTCACATTATAATTTTGCTTCAGGAAATTACAATTTGGTCCTACAAGTTTACGTTATAATTTAACCAACAAGAATATTTTGTTGTTCCTGGTATATAAAACGGGTAGTGAATTTAGTAAAATGGTCGAACAAATTAATTAGTGAAAATACGAAAAGATTAGCCGAGGCGAGAAAACTCTTTCCTTAAGACGATATTGCACCGCTACGGTGCTTACGGTTATTTGACAATGGTCTCCCAAGATACAACGGCTAACTCGGCATATGAGCACTCAAAATCTCGAGTACAACGAACGTTATTTTGTGTCTCAAACTCTCGAATCGAATACGGAAGAAAATATTCTACGAAGAATATTTTCGGGCTAAAGAAAGATGAATTCCATATTCACATTATTATTTTGCTTCAGGAAATTACAATTTGGTCCTACAAGTTTAGGTTATTCATAATTTAACCAACAAGAATATTTTTTATTTTATAAAGGGGTATTTATGACATTTCACCCTAGAAATGCCATCAAAAATCGCACAACCCGCAAGTGAGTGACACGATTTGCCTCCAGGGGTCTCGATGCCCTGACTTTGTTAACACAAGGGGGTGTTGGTGAGTTTTTTTTCATAGGGGGAATTTGCGAATTAGAGATAACACAAGGGTGGTATGTGCAATTAGCTCTTTAAATTTAAATTTTCTTATATAGATTCAATTTCATCACTTCGGACGTAGTTTTTTTATTTTCTCTTTCCTTTTTAATCTTCATCCATGATAATAAAAAGACAGGGGAAAACAGAAATGATGTTGTTAAGAAGATTGTTGTAACATGAAATATATTTTGCTTTATTGTTTCCCGTGAAAATCAGATTAGCTAAGGTCAATGAGGTGTAATTGCTTGTGTAAGTTTATTTAAAGTTTTAAACCAACTTTATGATGTACACAATACACATTTTGTGACTGCGGAAGCAATAAAAAATGACCATGAGAAATCACGTACTTATTAATATTAAATGTAGGTGCGAACATGGAATCTGAGCAAGCCAAACAAAACTATCAAAAAGCATGGGAAGTTATTATTCGGATATTAATTAAAGGAGAAGAATAAAATTCATTCCTTTCCGAGGAAAAAAACACAAAAACACATCCGATCCTAACGAGGTTCTATTATTTGGTCGTTGTCGCCACCATGAAGCATCATCAACTTATCAATTTCATCGACATGATCTCTAAGGATTTTCCACTGATCCATGAAAAATGATAAACCATTTCCGGTAGGATATTCCTTTCCGTCTTCCAAATAGAACTCCCTAATATCCATCACTGCCTTCCCATCCCAGTTCCTCACCAACACTTTCCGCTTCTTCGACAGCTCGCAAATCACATTCTTTTCCCACTCATTCCCGGCATTCAAAGTGATCTTCTTCGGACGTTCGTCGCCTTCGGACTTTCCCTTGCTGGCATCCCTCTTCTTGCCCCTTTTCAACATTTCTTCTAATCTGTGTACTATATAATATCTTAGCAACTAATATGTATGTTTATATACATCTTTTTTTTCCATATCTCTTACCATGTTCAAACATTGGGGATTATGAATTAAAATATATAATATTCTGTTTCTAAATTCAGTTTGCATGACATTGTATGATTTGATTTACTTGCGTTATTTAAACTATTCAAATGAAAATTATGCATACTAACTACTGAGTTGGCCATATACCAAGATTTGAGAATATAAACATATTTTTTAAGTTTATTTAAATAAAATATTTGGAACCTTTTATTGTGGGATACTTTGTGTAAGAATCAAAATTCGGATCAATATGTTTCCTTCCATTTTTCCATTTTTAGGGTGAATTTGAGTTCGGTCCATGGAGTGAAGTTTACTACAAATCAACCCACCATTTAACTATCATTTCAAATAAACCCACAAAAACATGAATTTCGAAAATAACCCTACATATTTCTATTTGAAATAAGCCCAACCCATAACCATCCCCTCCCAGCCGCCCACCAGATCAGTCCTCTCTGGCCCGGCCTGATTTTTGTTTTTGGCGGCAGTGGCCTAGGTCGTCGGAGCTTTGATTATCTAACTCAACATTAATTAACTTCAACATTATTTAACATTTGACATTCCATTTTTTCTTCTTTTAATTTTTTTTTCCGGTGGTGGGTCATCGAATCTCTGATTAGCTGACTCGACATTAGTTAATATTAACAATAGTTAACTTTAACATTGGTTGACATCTTTTTTTTTTTCTTTTTTCAGCGGCAGGTTGTCGGATCTCCGTTTAATTACCTCACTAAGCATTAGTTAACTTCAACTTTAGTTGTCATTCACATTTATTTTTTCTCCGATAGCGGATCGTCGGAGCTACGATTAATCAATTTTACCACAAAAAATCATAATTGTAACTTCAATTTAATCAATTTTGACCACAAAAATTCGTTTTGATTTTTTTTCTATTTTAACCTTTTTTGTTTTTGAAATATTTTTTTGCCACCGATTTCCGGCAATGCCTTTCTTTTTTCTCCTGTCTGTTTTTTTCCTTCGCCGGTTTCCGACGTTGACTTTTTTTTTGTGGTTTTTTTTTTAATCCTTTTTTTTACGATCGCTGCCAAATGTTGACCGTAATATTATTGTCATTCACAGTATTTATACTGGGGTTGCTAGTTCCGTAATTGTACTTTCACCGACAGTATAATTAATGTCAACCACAACAATATTATTATTTTTTGGTATTTTATTATTTTGTTTCATTTGGTGATAAGTCAACCTAATTATATTACTGTTGTTGACAGTAAAATTACTGTAAACACAATAATATTACTGTTAACCACATTAATACTATTTTTTATTTTTACTTTTTGCTTTGTTGTTTTGTTTGATTTGTTGACCGATTAACGTAATAATATTACTATCTACTATTGTAATATTACAGTAAACACAAACATATTACGGTGGTTGCAGTAATATTATTATTGTTATAGTAATATTATGGCTTAATTCCACTTTGCGCCCTTTAAATATACCATTTTGGCACTTTGCACCCTTGAAACAAATTAATAGCTCTTTGCATCCTCAAAATACAATAAATCATTCATAATGCACTCCCAAATGAATTTTTAAAGCTAAACAATATACTTTAATATTTTTAGTGATATTTTTTAGGATGTGGAATGTCAAATATTTTTTTTAATCATCAATCATTTTCAAACTATAATTTGTAAAAATAAAAATACATTTCATCAAAATATTTAAAAATTCTATTTTTTTATCAAAATAAAATATTTGATGCAAAAAGAAAATCATTCAGTTATTCCGTTATCAAGTTATCCGAAAATCATATTTTCTTCCAAATATATTTACCTAGTATTTTCAACCAAATAAAATAAAAGATCCATCAATCGAATAATTTAAGATAAAAGCTTATTTTATTTATTTTTTTGTAAGAAAATATAGTTTTTTTAAATAATCCGGTGTAATTTTTATTTTTTCGCACTTTGTCCGCTCGAAATTAGGTTGGAGGTTCAAGAAAATAACAATTTTTTTTTTCGTCACCCCGAAAAAAAACACCATTGAAAAATGAAATTACCTTTATTATTCAATTTAGGGTGCATTTTGAATGATTTATTATGTTTTGAGGGTGCAAAGTGCCAAAATGGTATATTTCAAGAGTGCAAAGTGAGATTAAGCCGTAATATTACTTTGGATGAGAGTAATATTACTTCTTTTGGTTTTTTTTTATTATGTTTGCCTTTATTGAATGGACAACATTTAATATTACTCTATCACAAAATAATAGTGATTTTTGTTGTGTTAATATTACTATGATAGAAAGTAATATAACAATATTACTATGTTAAACTGTAGTATAGTTAATATTATTGTGTTAAACAGTAATATAGTTAATATGACTGTCAAGCACATCAATATTGATGTTTAAACAAGGGCAAAGGTGTTAAAGTAAAAAATAATTCTATTTTTTTTTTTTTTTGAAAAAGTCAACGCTAGAAAACAATGGAAAAAATTAGGAGAGAAAAAAAAATCAACGCCAGAGACCAGCGTTGACCGGCAGAAAAATTAGGAGAAAGGAAAAAAAAATTGAAAAAGTCAATGCTGGAAACCGGCAGAAAGATCAGGAGAAAAAAAAACGTGAGGGGATATTTTAGTCATTTATAGATCTCTGGACAATGTGTGAACTTTTTTTAGAAGAGTTTTCTGTCTGGACCCCTTTATGAATAAGTATGGGATGATGGTCTTTTTTGTAAAATAGTTTTTTTTGTCTGGACCCCTTTATAAATAAATATGGGATGATGGACTTACTTGTAATGGATCCTAATTATAAAATAAGATATAAAAAAATGAAGGATAATTCATTTTTTTTATTGTTTTTTTTTTCCGTGTTGCAAAATATCAAATTAGATTGTTATTTTCTTCAACCTCCAACCTAATTTCGAGCACATAAAGTGCAAAAATTAAAAATCACATCGGATAATTGAAAAAAAAATATATTTTCTTACAAAATAAAATCGAATAAACTTTTATCACTAAATTTCGATTGATAGATATTTTATTGTAATTGGTGGAAATATTAGGTAGAAATATTTGGAAGAAAATATGATTTTCAAATAACTTGATAACAAAATAGTTGAAGGAATGTTTTTTTTTTTTTTTGCAAAATATTTGTTTCTAATAAAAAATATAATTTTTAAATACCACTAAAAATATTACTGTGCATTATGCATGATATAGTGTGTTTTGAGGGTGCAAATGTGCTATTAATTTGTTTCGAGGATGCAAAGTGCCAAAATAGTATATTTTAAGGGTGCAAAGTAGAATTAAGGCGAATATTTTTGGAGGGAGATATTTTGGTGAAAATCGAGATTTATATTGTTTATATATTTATGTCATACTAAGAATATGATCTAATATTTACAAGATAAAGAAAAATATTTAGTTAAATATTATTGTATTCAACTAGTAAAATCGTATTGAACAATTTTGAATGACAATATAGTAAAATTACATCATTCTGTTAACAGAAACAATGATATAATTATCAAACAAACATAAACGTTCAACGATCATTATTCATTATTCAGAAACCGCTCTTAATTGTTAAGATTGATATTCATCATTCAGTGTTCAGTGCTTAATTTTATCAAACATAGCCTTAAATGCACATATATTAAGACAAACAAAAAAAAAGATTCGCACATAAACTCATCCACTTGTCTTTTGTTTAGAATACCCTTCAATATAATTATCATCAATTTCATCCATTATCCATTATACTAACTTCATCAATATTGCACATTGACCCCGGATTTGAATAAAAATATGATATTAACCTCATTTTTCACAACTTTTTGATTTCATTTTTCTTCACAATTTTTTTTTTTTCTGGAATATAAGTCTCTCGTGCGGGCGAAGGTATTCATATTAACACATTAATACTGCAGGCCAAGACGATAATATTAATATTAATATTAACATAGTAGTATTACTAATATTATTGTCCCAAACAATAATATTACTTTCCCAAACAGTAATAATAATAATAATAATAATAATAATAATAATAATAATAATAATAATAATAATAATAATAATAATAATAATAATAATAATAATAATAATAATAATAATAATAATAATAATAATAATAATAATAATAATAATAATAATAATAATAATAATAATAATAATAATAATAATAATAATAATAATAATAATAATAATAATAATAATAATAATAATAATAATAATAATAATAATAATAATAATAATAATAATAATAATAATAATAATAATAATAATAATAATAATAATAATAATAATAATAATACAGAAGAAAAAAAAAAGTCGACGCCGGAGACCAGCGGTAAACGGCGGCGACGGACGAAATTGTACTCAAAATTGAATAATTTGTGAAATTTGGTGTCAAACTGAGGTTTAATTAAATTCAATGATGAAATCGGAGCATATTAAAATGTGAGGAGCTATTTTGGTCTTTTACAAACCTTTGGACATTGTGTGTATTTTTTTGTAAAGAGTTTTTTGTCTAAACCCCTTCATAAATAAGTATCCATTGATGGGTGTTGAGTGTATATTCTTACACTCAATGTATACTTTCTTACGAGGATTTTGGTATACTTTTATTGATTTAATGATGCTTAATGAGTGGTTTATTGTATTTTAGGTACAACTTGACGATTTGGGAGTTCCAAGGAAACGAGCCAAAAAAGGTAAAAAACGAGCTAAAATGGAAGAAAACAAAAATATGCTGAAAAGTGGCCCGCGCGGCCGTGCCAAATTTAGCCTATTTTTTGCACGGCCGTGCCAACTGCAGAAGTTGGGCAGAAGGTTTCGGTTCTCGCGCAGCCGTGTGAGAATTGCACTGATTTTCGCGCGGCCGCGCGAAAACACGCTGGAGACAATTTTGGACTTTTAATCACACAAGGAAACCTAAATTCCTCTACCAAGTTGGGG